TCATCCTCATCATCATCATCATCATCATCATCATCATCATCATCATCAACATCAATTCATCATTCATCATCATCATCATCATCATCATCATCATCAGCATCATCATCATCATCATCATCAGCATCATCATCATCATCATCATCATCATCATCATCATCATCATCATCATCATCATCATCATCATCATCATCATCATCATCATCATCATCATCATCATCATCATCATCATCATCATCATCATCATCATCATCATCAGCATCATCATCATCATCATCATCATCATCATCATCATCATCATCATCATCATCATCATCATCATCATCATCATCATCATCATCATCATCATCATCATCATCATCATCATCATCATCATCATCATCATCATCATCATCCTTTCATTATCCTCATGAATAACTCCTTCCTCTCGCACCCCGAGGCCAATCGGAAGGGCGGGCGGGGCGTTTTGCCTGAGACTTCCTTACCATGTATGAGCCTGAAGCTTCAAAGCTGGCAACCGCTTCACAGATGGAGGGCGGGTCGTTTCCAAAATGTGGCTCTTGCATCAGAGCCGCGCACATTTGCCGTAAAGCTGTTCTACAGCCGACCGGCTTGAGGGCGGGTGGTTTTCAACATGTGGCTCTCGTCTTAGCGCTGCGCACATGTGTCGTAAACAGTTGCAAGCGTTTCACGGATTCAAGGCGAGTCGTTTTAAAAACGTGGCTCCCGCCTTAGCGCCGCGCACATCCGCTTTACAGCCCACTTTACAGCACACTAGAAATTCACGGATTGAGGGCGGCTCCTTTTCACAGTGTGGTTCTCGCTTTAGTGCCGCGCGCACTCGTTTCAAACAGTTGCAAGAGTTTCATTCGTTCCCATGGTGAACGGACCAGAAATGGCGTCTTCGACCGAATCAAGATTGCTCACGGTATTGAAATCCCAGGAATGTTTAAGACGTAACCGTCAGGTTGACTCGTGGCGTTGGAGTCCTGAGAGTAATGCTTCGGCACGCTTGAGGGATTTCACACGGTTGTCCCCCAACAGGGCACTTCCCCAAGTGGAAATGAACGTTGTAAAGGCCTATGGCATTGGAGCTTGGAGCGGATGTGTTCCATCATTGTTGATGAGTTTTGGGTTTACACTGTTATTCCTTTTCCTCCTCTTCCTCCTCCTCGTTCTTGTCCTTCGTTCCCCTCCTCCTCCTCCTCCTCCTCCTCCTAATCCGCAAGTTCCTCCTCGTTGTTCTTCCCTCCTCCCCTTCCCCTCCCCCTCCTCATCCTCCTCCTCCTCCTCCTCCTCCTCCTCCTCCTCCTCCCCCTCCTCCTCATCCTCCTGCTCCTGCTCCTTCTCCGATTCCTCTTCCATCCCCCCCCCCCTCTTGAAGTATGGCGACTTACCCGGCCGTGTATTCCACTGCGTGCACCTCCACATCCCTGATCACGGCATCTCGTCTGGATTTCGTTTCTGGATGGGCTGGTGGGGTTACGCGAAGCGTCTAGAACCCGCCGACCATTCCACGTGTGTGGGACGCTGTCGTCGTCTTCGTCGTCGTCGTCTTCGTCGTCGTCGCCAATCCCAAGAAAGAAAGGAACGAACAGAGAAACGAAACGTCGTCATTAACTCGAATCCCTCTCCTAGTTCCCTTCCCTGATGGAGGGGGGCACGGGGGGGGTCCGCGATGGAGACCGATCGCAACTTCTCCAGACCGATCGTCGACCACTTCGGACTCATCACAAACAGTTGCGATCGGTCCGAAGTGGTTGCGATGTTTTGGGTTGCTTCAATAAGGCTTCGATTAGGGAAAATATCATAAGAGCGCTTCTGGGTGCACTGAACTCCCTCAAGCCGCCGAACGGGAATATGAAAAAGCGGTTGCGATCAGTCCGATCACCGACGGCCGATCATGATCTAAGCTAAACGCATGTACTTCAGCTCGAACGTGGCCATGAACCGTATACGATTTCTGTGATTCGTATATGAACCCGATGTGATTCGTATACGATCCCAAGAGGCCAAGGTAGACAGCCTCCGACATACCCCCAAGAGGCCTCGAGGTCTCCGAGGGGTGCACGAGACGATTCTTGGGGCTCTCGAGTGGCAAAGCCTCGCAGAAGCCCCGTAGAAGCCTCGCAGCAGCCTCTCAGAAGGCTCCCAGAAGCTTCTCAGAAGCCGCGTGGAAGCCTCGCAGAAGCCTCGCAGAAGCCTCGCAGCTCAGAAGCCTCGCAGAAGCCTCTCCGAAGCCTCTCAGAAGCCTCTCAGAAGCCTCCCGAAAGCCTCTGAAGCCTCTCAGAAGCCTCGCAAAAGCCTCAGAGACCCCCCCCAATCTGGGCGCGAAGAATGGACTGTCTTACCCCTTGGCGGCTCCCCCTTGCCGAGTGCTACGCCTGCTATATCGCGGAGGATGTTGCGCCACCAAACGAGAGAAGTGCGGGGGGCCGAAACAGGCTAACCGCTTGAGGCGTCCGCGAGTCCCTTCTGGGGTCACCAGGCAGCGAAGAATGCGTTTGAACATCCATATCATTGTTCCCTCCTCCCTCCCCCTCCTCCTGAAAAAGGCTTCAGTGAAGCCTCTGAACGGCCTCGCTGAAGCCTCCCAGAGGCCTCGCTGAGAGTTCTGCAGAAGCTCTGCAGAAGCTCTGCAGACGCTCTGCAGACGCTCTGCAGAAGCTCTGCAGAAGCTCTGCAGAAGCTCTGCAGTAGCTCTGCAGTAGCTCAGCAGTAGCTCAGCAGTAGCTCTGCAGAAGTTCTGCAGAAGCTCTGCCGAAGCTCTGCCGAAGCTCTGCCGAAGCTCTGCAGACGCTCTGCAGACGCTCTGCAGAAGCTCTGCAGAAGCTCTGCAGAAGCTCTGCAGAAGCTCGGCGGAGGCTCTGGGATCGACTGCAATCTGGTGTTCTCCATACAGATTTCGGCGCGAGAACCCTTCAGGTTTTGCGCTTGGTCCGTTTCCAGTGGTTGTCATCTGACCGAAGCAGTTTCTGAACAGTCCGAAGTGGTTGTATATCGGTCCTCTTCTCGGGGGGGCCCTCAGCCAGACCACCGCCCCCCCGAGTTTCTGGCGGGCCCGGGGGGTCGGGGGGGCCCCGCGGACAGGGGAACACGGGGCCACCACATCCGGGTCACATCCGGGGGGTCGCCAATGGGAAGGGGCCATGGGACACACAAATAAATACACAAATAAAAACACAAATAAATACACAAATAAAAAGATTCCCTATGTTTTCCTGTATTTTCTGGGTTTTTGTCTTCCCCCCCACTTCCCATATTTTCCAATATTTTCCTGGGAATGGACGATTAATTGTGTCCGCGTGTTTTTTCCCCTCCTGACAGTGGAAGTCCTCGGGGAAGTCCCGCCATGGGGGTCCCGGGGCCAGCGGAAGTCCTGGGGGAGGTCTCGCCTCAAGTTGGCGGCACCGGCCGTAAGGCCTTCGCAAAATCGGACCCAGAGATCCGACGTCGTGATTCTTTCAATACGCGGTCCCCGGAAGTCTCGACCCATTCCCCAGGACCGGTTTTTCATCCTGAATCGTCATTCGACGGTCCCGAGGTTCCACGAAGGCCCCTATAGGGGCCGGAATTAGCGCAAGACCTCCATGTTGATTTTTCAATGCGTTGGATCTCTGGGAAATCGGATAGGATTGGATCACCATCTGCAGACCGTCCCCCCCCCTCTTCTGCATCCATTTCCCTTGCTGGGCCGCCTCTGCCCTGCCAGCCCAGCGGCGCTCACCTCGCGACGCACCACCATCCCCGGCCATCCCGTCCCCGCCCGCCTCCGGCTCCGCCTTCTTTCCGCATCCTCGGCGGCCTCCGTCGCCACCGCTGGATTCGCCTCAAAACACCGGCCACGTCGACGACGACGACGACGACGACGACGACGACGACGACGGCGACGACAGACGACGACGACGACGACGACGGCGACGACACAAGCGCGCTCTCTGGCGCTGCAGTCGTCCACTCCCGTGCGCCGAGCGCCCTGCGCCCGCGGCCGCCCTCTGCGAACGGCGGGCCCCTCGGCGGCGGCGGCGGCGGCGAGCGCGCCCGCCGCCGGCAGCCTCCGCTCGTGGCTGCAGCGCCGCGGCCTGCTGCCGCTCGCGCCCGCCGCGCCGACGCGGGGCGGCCCCTCCGGCGCGCTGGCGGCCCGTCCTTCTGCGGCCCGCGGCCCCTCCGTCGGCTACACGCAAGCGTGACCCTGGGTCAGAGTGACCTTTGGTGCGCGACGTTTTGGGGGCCGCGTGGGGGGAGGGGGGCAAGCCTGGGCGCGCGCGCAAGCAGCTGCTACTGCTTCGTTTTCGGCCATCTGGGGACCCCTCAGTGCCCACACCAAAGGTAACTCCGGCGAAAGGTCACTCTTACGTTTCGTCGCTTCCGGCGCCTCCGGGCGCCCGCGCGGCGAAACCCCCCGAGGGCGCCCCGCGCGGCAGCCGAGGCGGGCAGCCCGTGGCCGCCGCGCGGGCCACGCGGTGGCCGGGCCCCTCGAGAGGCCCGCGGGCGCCGCGCGGGCCTGCCGCGCGGGCCGCCCGCGCGGCAGCAGGGGCGCGGGGCCGCCGGCGGGGGCGCCGAGGCCGTCGCGGGGAGGCGCCCGGCCTGCGCCTCGGCCTGCGCCTCGGCCGGCCCTCGGCCTGCGCCTCGGGGGCGTCGCGGGGAGGCGCCCGGCCTGCGCCTCGGCCGGCCCGGCCGCGCCTCTGCCGCTGCGCCTCCGGTCTCCATGGGGCCTCGCCGCGCGCCGAGGCCTAGCTCGCCTGCGGGGCCTGCTGCTTGGCGCTGGAGTAGTACACATCCACCTCCCGCTTGATAAGCTTGCGCACCGGGCCGAGGAAGGAGAGGAACTCCTGCTTGGACAGGGAGCCCACCGTGCAGCCCTCTGGACCAGCGGACACAGTTGCCGCCCGCGGCTGTTCCCTGATGAGCGCCAGCTCCCCGAAATATTCGCCGGGCTCACAGTACTCCTTTACCTTGCCAACGCCCTCCTTGAAGGCGACGGCCGTGCCGCGCTGCAGGATGTAGAACCTCGACCCAGGCTCGCCCTCCCTGATGATTTCCTCGTCCGCACCGTAGCGCTTCCCATCCAGCGACAGAGACAGCTCGCTGAGCTCGAAGCGGTCGATGAAGCCGAGGAGATCCACCTCGGACAGCCACCCCTGGTACTTGATGAACGCGCCCTCGCTGGTGGCCTCCCACGTCGAGGCGGTCGGCTGCAGCAGAAGCCGGAGGTCCTTCGACGGCATGCACCACGCGTCCAGGCTCGTCGATGCGGAGACAACGGTGGCGGACTGGGGGCAGCCGTCCATAAATGCCAGGTGGTTCATCAGCATGCCCGAGGTGAGACTCGCCACCTTCTTCCCGCGATCCATGTCGTCTGCGATGACGCAGCCGTCGGACACGGTGCACACGTACACGTCGGCCACGCCTTTTTCGATCAGGTAGAAGTTCGTCGCCGCCTCCCCTTGCCGGAGGATGGTCTCCCCCTCGAGGAAGCGGCATGGGGAGAGGGCGTTGATCAAAGCGTTGAGCTTCCTCTCTTCCAATGAGCGGAATCCGCAACCGTGCCCCCTTGCACGTTGAGGCAAGGTGGAATGCCAAAAGCTGTCTGGTAGGGTTTCTGCAATCGTCTTGGGCCCCACCCTCCCTCACTCACCACAATCCCTCGCATGCATCGCCATCCTGCCCCTTGTAAGCATTCCGACGGTATGACCCTAATTACATGAGCATCTGCCAAACGAATATGGGAGCACATCTCATCGTCGTCCTTGTCATTGTGAAGGGTCCCATGCTTGTCTCGTCACTCTTCTCTCTGCCGCCCTGGCGGAGGCTCTCCTCCTCCTCCTCCTCCTCCTCCTCCTCCTCCTCGTCCTCCTCCTCCTCCTCCTCCTCCTCCTCATCATCATCATCATCATCATCATCATCATCATCATCATCATCATCAGCAGCAGCAGCATCAGCAGCATCATCATCATCATCATCATCATCATCATCATCATCATCATCGTCATCGTCATCGTCATCATCATCATCATCATCATCAGCATCATCATCATCATCACCACCACCACCACCACCACCATCATCATCATCATCATCATCATCATCATCATCAGCATCATCATCATCATCAGCATCAGCATCATCATCATCATCATCAGCATCAACATCAGCATCAGCATCATCATCATCACCATCATCATCATCATCATCATCATCATCATCATCATCATCATCATCATCATCATCATCATCCCCCTTCTCCTGGACTCAAACCACCTGGGCCCGAGACCTCATTTTGGAGGATCCCAGAGGACCCAGACCTCGGTGCTTCCACGGAGGGCTCGGGGGACGCCGCAGCGACGCATGTCCCTCTAGAGTTGTTTTTTTTGCGGCGGCGAAAGCCGAGGATGTCACTTCTCTTCTCGAAGTGCAACGGCTGCGGCACATTCGAGTACAATGATGTTCTCTTGCGAGCGGATCGGAAATGCAGATCATGTAGTCGCCAGGTGCGCCTCTTCGTCCCCAGGAGGATTCGCTCGAGGTCGCGTCACCTGCGTCAGCCTCTTCGTCACACGTCGTCTAGTCCCAAGTCTATGGGCCCCAGGATGTGGCATCGTCTTTGAAGGCGGCCATCGCCCAGACCACAGACCCGCACATGAAGGCCGTGCTGGAGACGCGGCTGACCAAGGTCGACGTGCCCGAGCAGATGCCCACTGCGTCTCCTGCCGACGGGGTTCGTCGCACGGACGCGGCCTGGCGGGATGCAGAGGTCAAGCATGAGCAGGCGGCCAAGGCGGTGCAGCGCCTGCGCAGCCAGCTTGACCAGGCTGAGGAGAAAGAGCGTCAGGCTACCAAAGTCTTGGCGCGTGCCACGTTGGCGAAGACGCAGGCGGCGCAGGCTCTGGCGAAGGCGGGGGGGGGGCGTCATCTTTGACTGCGATGACGGCAGCAGCGCCAAGTCCCTGTTCCAGCTATCATGGGACCAAGAGTTGTTCACCAATCTAGGCCAGCTCGAGTGTGACCAGAGTGAAAAGGATGCCTTGGCGCAGCTAGAGAGGGACCTAGTCAGCACCAAGGACACGTTGAAGTCCAAGGAGGAGGAGGTTCAGGCCTGGCTGCAGCGTGCAGCCGAGCTGAAAGCATCGATCAAGGAGAGACACGCCAAGAAGAGGCGGAGCCACAACGACCAGGCCGTTCCTGGTGGTGATGCAGCTCCCGCAGAGGCCCAGGCTGCTGCGCAAACGGATGGCGCCTCTCCCGAGGCACTGCCTTCAGCGGAGCAGAAGACAGCACAGGCAGCAGCAACAGAGGAGAAGGGAACGCCTCATCGAGTCTGAGGCGGAGAAGCGCTCCAAGGCCAAGTTTGCGGCGCTGCTGGCGAACCAGCAGATGTCAGGCGACGGCAAGGGCAGCGCCAGCATGCCCTCCAAGGACAAGCAGGGCAAGGGCGTTGCTGCCCAGCCCAAGGCCTGACAGTCCGACGAGCCCCGTTCGTCGTCGACCCTTTCGGCCAGCACATCGACGGCGAGCACAGCGGCTCCTCCCTCATGGTCTACTCCCACTCCATGGTCCCCTCCAGGCTCCAGTCTGAGCCCATCTTCGAGGGGCCCCCCAGTCGAATCTCGCGTCGATGACGCCGATGAAGATGAGGGCGGGAACCACGTCCCCGACAGTCTCACCAACCTCGTCGCGGGGAACGCCACGTAAATGTGCACCAAAGTTCGGCAAGACATTACCTAGCAGAAGCACACTACTGAAGGGGCCCCAGGGCACACAAATAAGTACACACACATGAAAACATATTCCCCATATGTTCCTAGATGTTCTGGGTGTCTGTCTTCCCCCCCCCCACACTTCCCATATTTATATCTTCTGGGGAATCGAGGAGTAACTGTGTCTGTGTTTTTTTCCCCCAACTGAACTACACAGTATTTCGCCATCGTAGAGGCCCCCGCCGGCAGGGGCGAAGCCAAACCGCGGGGCCTCACGGCGAGGAGCATCGGCCCCAAGCTCTTCTGCAGACCCGACCGACCGACCGAAGGGGCTGCCGGTAGGACGTGCCAACGACGGGGGCGAGTGGATCCTCACTCGTGGGCATCTTCGCGCGCGTTCCCTCGGCGCGGCGTCCAGCCCCGCGCCCCATCCGCGATTCCGCCAGAGTCAGCCACGGCTTCTGCGCGATCGCTGTCCACAGGAAGGGCTACTCCTCCGTGCTCATCGCCTTCTACGGGCACACAGGCATTGGCTTCTCTGGGCCGAATGTCGGCCGCTATCGTCGCTTGGGCGCACTGCTTCACGCTCTGCTACTACCACGGGTAGTGGTGGCCGCTTCCAGTATCAGTGCGGCGGCGGTCAGCAAGGCTGGTTTTGCTGAGCGCGTCGGTGGCCACATCATCACGTCCAACATGGACTACAGTCGGGCCGCCGAAAGAACAAGCTAACTAAGGAACGGAGCCCAGGCTCGGCCCTGCAAGCGCCTCCGCGCCCCGGGAGGGCAAGAGGAACAGCGCCGGAGGAGCCTGAGGAACATCGAGCCCCTTCCGAACCCAAACTGTGCCTTATGTCAGCGTCTTGACGGTATGCGAGCAGTGCAGGAGCCAGAGGGTCGCACATCGACTCTGGCCATCGCTCGGACGTCCATTCCCGGTGTTTTTGTTCCTGGCTTCGCGCGTGGCCTTTTCCGCCGAGTGATCCAGGATTTGGGCGCCCGAGTTATCCGGGGTAACTCGGGTCCGGGGTAACTCGGGCTTGGGTTGCCGAAAAAACGAACCCGAGTTATCCCTGACCCGAGTTACCCCTGATGATTCGGGGCTCTGGACGCCCGAGTTATCCGGGGTAACTCGGGTCCGGGGTAACTCGGGTTCGGATTCCCGAAAAAACGAACCCGAGTTATCCCTGACCCGAGTTACCCCTGATGATTCGGGGCTCTGAAGGATGCTCCTCGATGGCCCTCGCCGAAGGAACAACGCACACGTCCGAGCGATGCCAAAAAGCAAAGAGTCGCACCTCGACGTCGTTGTGCGCAGCGCGCCCGCTCCCCGCGTCGCCCCCCGTCGAGCGGCGGGGCTCCCCGTGCCGCGGGGGAGGCCCGCGCCGGCCTTCGCGCTCGGCCTCGAGACCGATGGGCGGCAGCTCCTCGCGCGAGCGCCGCCCATCGCGTCGAGGGCCCCCTCGGGCTCGGCGGCCTGGTCAGGAGCCCTCCAAAGGGGGGTCTTTCCAGGGGGGCCCCTCCAAAGGGGGGTCTTTCCAGGGGGGCCCCTCCAAAGGGGGGTCTTTCCAGGGGGACCGCTCCCGATTCCAGATCCAGCTGCTCTCGTGCCCCTCGCCTTCCGGCAGCCCAGGCCGCGGCGGCGAGGCGCGAGGAGGCATGCCCTGCGCTCTCTGGGGACGCCCTGGAGGCCATGGATCTCCAGAAGAGCAGGAAGGCCCCGAAGGGGGGGCCCTCGCCTCTGAGCCCGAGCGCCCGGAGGCCCTCTGTTGCCGCACCGATGAGCTCCGACCCGTTCCACGATGACACCTCCTTGTTTCTCTTGTGGCATCTTCGAGCCCAGTCAGAACAGGGCGCAGCCGGACTTGCACAGAGGAGGAGGAAAGGAGGAGGAGGAGGAGGAGGAGGAGGAGGAGGAGGGGGAGGAAGGGGGAGGAGGAGGAGGAGAAGGAGGAGGAGGAGGAGGAGGAGGAGGAGGAGGAAGGAGGAGGAGGAGGAGGAGGAGAGGCGAGCTCAGCTCCTTCTGCTCAAAGGAAGGCCCCTGGGCAGGGTGAGCCGACTTCTTGTTCGGGGGTCCGGCCCGCCCCTGGGGCTCCTTCGACCTCTCGGCCCCCTCCCCCGGCTGTGAACCTTCGACGCCTTCGGCGGCGGCCTCCTCTCCTCCTCCTCCCTCCTCCTCCTCCTCCTCCCTCCTCCTCCTCCTCCTCCTCCTCCTCCTCCTCCTCCTCCTCCTCCTCCTCCTCCTCCTCCCCCTCTTCCTCCCCCTCTTCCTCCTCCTCGGCGAGGCCGTGGAGGCTGGTGGAAGCCGCGCGGGCTCGGGCCCCCTGCGGAGGCCCGGTGGTTCCCCGGCGGGGGTCGCGCCCGTCCCCCTCTGAGGCCCTCCCCGAGGGTAACTCAGAGAACCACGGCAGCACTGACCTTGTAACGGCGTCGACCCAGCCCCCCGGGCCCCGAGGGACACCCAGCGTCACTCATATGATCCCCCCTCATCTTTGGGATAGGCACAGGCAGCCTGCAGGGTTTTCGTGTTCTCCCTCCCTCCCTTTACCAAACTACATCAGTGACTCTAGAGCCTTCGAGGTGAGCCCTGAACGAGCTCTACTAGTCAGTGGCATGCACGCGTCTTGGGTGTCTGCGATTGAGGATACCATTCGTGACCTTATGGATGTGAGAATGTTTCCCAAGGACCCATTCGAGCTCATGCCCTCACCTTCGCAGCGCAGGAAGTCCGAGTGTCGGACAGATATCGCGCGGCCCCATTACGAGATTTGGTCGCAAGCTGGTGGACGAAGCTTCACTCGCTACTCAGCTCTCTTCACAAACACCGTGCTCGAGGCAACGGACTCG